ATTTTTGCGATTTTTTCGATTTTTACCATAATATATATGATTCAATCGATTTGTAACTAGACATGTTTTGTATAAAATTTAATTACAAACATTTTCCTTCTTCCATTTTCGCCTAAAATCAACTCTTGAAAAGATACATAATTAAATAGGAAGAAAAATATGACATTTTTCGAATTTTTTTAACGTATTGTACCGCCAAAAGTTAAGCCCACGTTTTTTTATGCGCGTAGAAAAATTTTCACTTCTAGTGATATTTGAAAGACAAAAAGCCAAAAATCTCCGATTTGAGTGATGTATACAGGGGACTGTCAGAATAGTATAACAACTTAATATTACAATTGTTACCGTTGGAAATATCAAACTTGGCTAATGCCACAGATATAATGAATACTTTTATGAAGTCACATTGACGGTTAAGTAAAATATAATTCTGATCTAACATTTCTTGAGCGTAAAGAAACTTTTAAAAAATTCTGTATTCTGAGTACTCATCTGAAAGTAATAGAAGATTATTATTTTTAAAAATTGATATTCCAATCGAATTTTTCCAAGAGACAGGAATATAATTCTTTTCTGGACAACAATTTAGATCATCGTCATTTATAATTCAAAAACTATAAAATAATTATAATCTATTTTTTATATCTATAAATAAAAATTAATAATTTTTAACATGTATGTATTGGTACATGATTTTACTCATATGTTTATTAATTAGTGGAACTTTAATTATACTAAAACCTCTTTTATTTCAAAACTGTTCAGTGTTTGTTTCTCCTGTAAAATTATATCCTCGGTTACCTATATCATTGCGGGTTACGATTTGCGATTTGTAATCAACGATATGTATTAGCAGTAGTAGTATTTTTTGCAACTATTTAAAACAGAGTCCGATGCCAGTCTAAAAGAAAATTGGATGTTATTTTGAAAAATGTGATGCAAATAAAAATTAACCTTACTAGGGAGTACAATCAGAATCTATCTCCACAATGAATACAAAAATAAAAAAACAAAAAATATTGCTTTATTTCATTAGGATCTGTTAATTTTCCTGCGATATTAATGGTTTTATTTGAATTGTTATTAAGGTCTCTAAATCTACTTGAAACAGAGATAAAATTATTTTTCTTCTCTCTCCTCACAGCAGATCATATAAAATTTGTTTTATATTTAAAATCAATTTGACATTGAATTTGTAAATG